TGGGGGGGGGGGCTAGTGGAGCGAATCGAGTCTCACTTGGCTGGGGGCCAGGGGAGGGGGGCCGCCTAGGGCCCCCGGCGGGGGTCCAGGGGGCGAATCCCCCTGGAAGCCACGGATATTTGATGAATTAATATGGCGAATTTTTATTACTTATTTGATAGGCATCGAGGTACTATAATATGACTTTATGTAAGGCTGCTTTCTAATGTTGACATCAGCTTCCAAAAACCAAAACATTTTTGAATAAAGCAAGAAACAAAGAGTATGCAATGTAACCATCTAATTTATGTTCAAATCCTCATTCTTGAAAGTGAAATTCTATATTTTGGAAATTTTGCATGAAAGCTGTCAACCACGTTGTCATGGTCGAGGTTGCTTCACCTATCACGATGTATTCCAACCATCATGAGGCTATCTAATGAGCATTGTCATAACGGAACGCAAATTATTTTTAATTAGTCTCATTGAATTATTATTATTATTATTATGATTATTATTATTATTATTATTGTTATTGTGGTTGCTGTTGTGATGAAAAGTTAACACAAACGATATGGTGGCTAAACAAATATTACATGTAAATTTTTTTTTTTTATTTGTTTGTTCCCCGACAAAATTTATCGTCTTCCCCGACGGGGAGGGGCTATGCTCCACCCCTGCTTCCAGCATTTCCAAAAGGGAGGGCAGGATGGGGATGTCCCGGACTCTTGCTATCCCCGTCCTTCACTAAAATACGCCACTGGGCCAGTTTGGAATTACCGGGCCCTTTGCGCTTGGATGCATTGTGCACGTGGTTTTTGGGGAGCGAAGTCCTCGTCCTGTAGGGCTCAGCCTGCTGCTAAAAACCAAAGAGGAACGGCCAGTCAGACGTAGATATCATGGGTCGAATGGACGGTAAAGTTGTGATTGTCACAGCAGGTGCACAGGGAATTGGCCGAACAACAGTTGAGGTGAATTTAAATCTCTATTTAAAATGGGAGTTTACAATAGCATGTGCAGGCTTTTTATTTTGGCTTAGCCATAGGCCTTGTTTTCGTGTAGTAGTAGGCACGGCTGAGCATTCAGCGACCTAGCATGCCAAGCCCTCACTGAGACTGATTCAGTCAGCAGAGTGGTGGACTACGGATCCCTGGCTGGTCTCACCAAGGACAGTGCGACATGGTTAACACGTACATTCTATCTTATGCCAAAATAGTAATGTTGAAAATTAATAAATCAGAGCAGGGCAGCGTACGTGACCACTCACAATTTTTGATCCCAATGATTCAGCAAAAATTGCCCAAAATTACCCAAGCTTCCTGAAAATGCATTAAAATTTGAAAAATACGTTTTTTCGCATGTATAGTTTCCCTTTTAGTTCAATTTATAAACCATTTTTATTGTAATTGTTTGTGTTAATTATTAAAATTAACGAAGTGTCTATGCTTACGCCGAGTCGTAAGCATTAATCATAGGCTATGCTTACGCCGATCTATTTGAAGGGCGCCGCTTGCTTCGTGAGTACGAAAACGTCCTATTGAGCATGTGCAAATATTTTTTTTTCTGCAGCGCACTTGGTGAAGTTTCAAGATGGCAGATGAAGACACTTTGCGTCTCGGTGGCATTTTCACAAGCTATGAAAAATTGTCAGAAGCTGTATCGAATTGGGAGAAAGAAAATCACATAAATTTAAATAAACGATCTTCACGTAGCATCGATTCTGCCAAAAAACGTGCACCTAAAAGACACTTCAACCCCGAATTAAAATTTTATTCAATCGATTACGCCTGCATTCATGGTTCTCACCATGTTAATAATCAGAGCTAAGTTAGTACAGCCCATATTTCGTGGTACAGTTGTTGCACATCGAATAATTTAGTTAGTAGAGAAAAAGAAAGTTATTTTTTAAGAGAGTTTCCTTTCAAACATTTCAGTTGTTAAAAACCTTGGTGCTTAAACCGAAATATACTACAGTGTTTTTGTATATTAATAACAAAATTGGTCACGCTCTCTTGTAATTATTGTATGCGTACTTGTTCATAATAGGAAAATTAAGAATTTTATAGGGACACGGATCAAGAGATGTTGGAAAGGTCGGGGTGAGGGATCGAGATAAGAGCACCCTAGGGAAAATTCTCGTTTTTGATTTCGCTTTTTAATCATGTACTGTAATGTACAGGACAATGATTTAAAATCAGAATATCACTGCAGCAGGCAGGTCATCTCCAACATTCTACACATCATACATAGATACATTGTCATTATTATTTCAGATACAGTATTGTATCAATATCAACATAAATTGGGCTAGATAGGCCTACTGTATCTAACAATGAAGTACTGTATCACAATGAATAGACGGCACTCATGAGGAAAGTACAAGAGCTTGGCACAGGTCAAATATTTTTACACAAGGATGATATGGAGTACTTGAGTAAAGTGAATTAAAGCAGGCTAAATAGGCAAGTGCTACAGAAACTAGGTAAGCTAGAATTGGGTCCTCGTGTGGGAATGTACTAATATGTCTGCCTCAGTTCATGACGATGCCTGTTCTTTTGGAAAACTGTGGACTAGACA